AGTTCAAAAAATTCATAAGCCAGGCACTGGTGACTCATGTCTATAATCCTAGCTACTGAGGAGGCAGAGATCAGGAGGATCACAGTTTGTGACCAGCCCAAGCAAAAACAGAGACCCTGTCTCAGAAATACCCAACATACAAAAAAGGACTGATGGAGTGGCTCAAGTGGTAGAGTGCCTGCCTAGCAATACTGAGGCCCTGAGTTCAAACCCCATAGCATCCTTTTTTAATGTAAGATAATGATCTACTTGAAATTTGGAAGTGGTTGCCTTGAAAGACAGGAGCACATAAATCCTTAGAAATTCTTGGTCCATTTCTCCAGTTGGGTAATGGTTTCGTGGATATTGGTTAATTATGAAAAGAATTGAAATTATACATTGAGTTTGCTTTTTAAGTCGTTCTGTATTGAGTCATTTTGGAAAATCATGATTGCCCCCTTTGTTCATCTTTTCCTATTTCTGAATGTATCAAGTGTTCTTAATCCTAATGTCCAACTGAGTAAGCAAATGTGGAGGGAACTCAGTGAATGTTTTTTTTCTACTCTCTCCCTAGAGTGGTAGTAGAGTAAACCAAGTGACAGTGTCCTTCATGATGCCTGGGAAGAATTTTCTTTACCCCTTGCCAGCACATAACAAGAAAGATATGTGCTTATTCCTCAGAAAGTTCCCACTTAGAAAAAGCCTGAACTAAATGTGTTACGGGGGCTAAGTGGAAGGTATGGTTTGTGAAGTATTAAAATATAAAGTATAGAAATTGATTCAAAGGAAAAAATCCTCTTTAAATCTTAAATGAGTTAAAATTCACATTTAGGAACTTGAATGAGGCCCTTGCTTGTGTTCCTTTGTTTTATTCATTGCTTTTTATTTTCTCTGAGTGAAATTTAATTTGGGTAAGAATTGGGGTGGAGTGCTGAAGTTGCAGCAGAAAACATGGACTTCGATGTCTAGACAGAAACAGCTTAGAATAACAGATTCACCACTTGCTGATTGTGTGATCCTGGCCAGTTACTTGGCTGAAATTGGTGTTTCTTGTATATAAGAAGGGATTTTAATATCTACTCTGCTGCATTCTTGTGAGAATTTGATTTCCTATCTGTAAAGCACCTAACAGAAAAAAAAATTTAATGATAGTTGAGTAATTTTTCCACATGGTGTTAACAGGGACATTGGGCCTCGCAAATCAATCTTTGTCTTATAATCATAGCAATTCAATACCAATGTGTGTTAAGAGGAATGTAACTTCTAACTTTGAAATGTAAATTGTTTGCTTTGAGTCAATCATAATATAGAAAATTCAGGCTGTGTCAGATAAAACATAGTGCATAGTATTTTTTTGATCTTTGTCTTGCATTTGAACTTCACATAGGCCTACTAATTCTCTTTTAAGGCTACAAAATACACTCCCCACCCTCCTTACAGCCATATTACAAATATGTGTCATTATTGACAAATGGGATCAAATGGGAATATAGTTTAATATAGCTTACAATTAGTGCATACATGAGAAAAAATGTCTTATATGTTTTACTGATACTATCTTTATATGCAAAACTAGTAAGTTTACTTACTTAGTGAGGCCTCAAATGTAAAAACAGTACTTAGCAATATTTAGAATTATCTTTTAAATAGAATTATTTTATAGTCTTTTACAAATAGTGCCGTTTTCATAGTAAATTCACTGCTTATGAACAATGAGTAATTGTGAGGAAGACTCACTGGTGTTTACCTACAGAACAGGTGTGACTCTTACATAATAGTACAAGTACAAGTTTTCTTATCCACCCACAGTTGTTATTTCTGAAATGACTGGTGATCCTGCCACAGACTGATAGATATGGAAAACTAAAGGGTAACCAGTTTTTTCTTTCCTTGCCAAAAGCTGTAGTCGCTTTGGGTTCCCTCTCTTGTCCTGTACATGGAGAAGGGTTTGGGAAGGATCTATAGAAGGGATGTTAACCAAGTTTCTTGCTTAATAACCTTGATGTGCCTGTTGTACTGGTATGTTGTAATCAGTCCAGATCTCCTATTCTTGGGGTAGTAAATGCTGAGTGTTTGGTGGAAAGATTGTCGTGGTTTGTTGTAAGTGTGGATTCAGGTACAGTAGTCCTCCCTAATGCATGATTTTACTTTCTGTGTTTTCATTAAGTTTTAAATTGCACATCATCCTAAATAATGCAATAAAATCTTGTGCCTTCTCATTCCATCCTGCTCAGGACATGAATCATCTGCTTTGTCCAGTACATCTATACTATAGGTGCTACCCTCCCTTATCAGATCAACAATCTTGTCATTACAGTACTTGTATTCAAGTAACCTTTATGTGACATAGTAACACTATGTCACAGTGCTTCCACCATTCACCTCAGTAGGCATTGTGTCACATCATCACAAAGAGAAGAAATGTGAGTTACATACAATAAGATTTTGAAACAGGGCCCACATTCATACAACTTTTATTATAGTGTATTGTTATGATGCTGTTTTTTAACTGTTAGTTATTGCTGTTAATCTCTTACTGTTCTTAATTTATGAATCAAACTATCATAAGTATGTATGCATGTATGTACAGTATAGAAAAAAACATCGTATATGGAGTCAATGGGAACTATCACTGGTTTCAGGTATCCCGTAGGAAACTTGGAATGTCTTCTTTGCAAATAGGGAGGGCTACTGTATTGAGCCCATACTATCACAGAGTATTCAGATTTATTTATATTCACTGTTCCTGTTCTATATTTTAAGAATATATAAAAAACCTAGAGTCTTGATGTCACCAGTATAGTGTAATTTGTAGATTTTAATGACCACTTACTATGGTTTGAAGTATTACATGGCAAAAACTATAAACTATCTGCTTTATGTTTTCATGTAAGTTGGAAATATGTTTGGCTAGAAGGAAATTCTGTGTTATTGAATGTGAATGTTAAATGAAGGCTTGCATTCTGTGTTTGGCTGTGTAAACTCTGCTTCCTTGAAAAGATGATCCTGTCTTACTTATGGCTGCATCCCCAGTGCCTGGATCACCACCTGACATTCAGAGCATCTGTCAGTGAATATTTTCCTGAATGAATGAAAGAATGGTTCTAGGTCAAATGGAGAATAATATTGAAGGGAATGAGATAACAATAAACCAGGAGTCTTTTATTTTCCTTAATAACATGCCAGTTTTCTTCTCTGATTATAAATAAGCACATATATACGGACAGTCTCTGACTTAGGATTTTTTTTTTTACTTTATAATGGTATGAAAGTGATCTACATTCAGCAGAAACTGTACTTCTAGTTTTGAATTTCAGTGTTTTCCCAGTCTAGAGGTATGCAGTATGATACTGTCTCAAGATGCTAGATAATGCCATGAGACATAGCTCCTAATAAGCCATGAAGCAAAGAGGATAAACAACTGGTAGTCTACAGTGTACAGATGCTCATTGACTTAGAATGATGTTATGTGCAGATAACCCAGCATAAGTTGCACATTTTTTATATTAAAAATGCATTTAAGGGTGAGGGTATAGCTCATTGGTAAAGCAACTGCATTTTCAAAGCCCCAAGGTCAACCTCCACCACCCTCCAAAAATGGATCTTATATGCCTCAATGACCAAACTTAGCTTAGCAACAGTACACTGTAGAGTATAAGTTGTATCCCCTTGTGATTGTGTGGATGACTGAGAGTTGTGACTTGTCACTGCTCAGTACATCAAGAGAGTACTGTACATCATATAGTTAGCTCAGGAAAAGATCAACATTCAAAGTTGGAAGTATAGTTTCAACCAAATACGTATTGCTTTTGCACAATCATAAAATTGTACATTGAACCATCATAAATCAGGGGCTGTTTGTACTATATTTCTAAGTTATTTTGTACATTAAGTGTGTTAAATGAATTTTGACTTAGAATATTTTCAATTTATGATGAGTATTAGGCCATAACCCCATTGTTAGTTGAAGCAATGTAAATCAGATTTTATGCACTTATATTGTACCTGTTTACCTGCCTTCTAACAAAGCAAAAATGCCTATTTAACCTTAGAATTTGGTTCCTAGCATTTTTTTAGTTCAATATCAAATTAGAATAAAACACTTAAAATTTTTTAATGATATTTAAGGGGAATTTTTTTCTTTTAGTTTCCAGAAATTAGGTAAGTTAAGGTATCTGATAAGAATTCCTCAAACAGAATAGTCTTGGATTATGGTATGTTTCTCTTTAAAAATAGAACCCTTAAGTAGAAAAAAGTTAGATTTTAATTATCTAAAACATTTTCAAAGAAAATCTCTCTCCTTGCCATTATGTAGCTCAGAAACCAATACCCGCCCTTTTGGTGTTGAGATACAAATACCTCACTGAATAATAGAGGGGTATGTGTCTGTATCTGTGTCATTGTTAGTTGGTTTGAGAAAATTTGTCTTCAGTACATTCTAGGATAGGAAGATCTTTTAAATGTAACATTGTTTTATTTTCTGCTTAGAAAAATATTTCATACTTCCTGCAGAAACTTGGTAAGCATCACAATATCAAAAAAGGAGGAGATTGCCGTTAATCAGGAAGACTTTTATTTTTTTTAACTTCAAGTTTTTTTTCTTACATTTCTGCCCAATCTAAAAAGTGAGATCTTTGTATTTTGGACAAGCATATTATAAATGCCTGAGCACAATATACCTAATTTAAAAACCTACTTTTTTAGCTTTTCTTAAAAATACCACCTTTAATGTCATAAAAGAATAGCTGTGTAGATGAGGATAGAAGAAGTGAATTATGTGCTTGATAAACTAATCTAATTGTCTCCTTTACCATCTTTGCTATGGAGTATTATCTAGCATTACTTGTCCTCCTGTTATTCAGCCCTCTGTCCCAAAGTGAGGAATTGATGAGGGTATATTCATTGCATTATGTCTGATCACAGTTTGACTAGCACAGTCTGGAAGTGGGCTGTGCAGGATGAGAGCGAGCAGCCTAATTGCTCTTCCCGCATCAGCAGCATCTATAAAGCATCCTGGGAATTGCTCACCCTGTGTTCAGAGCAGCTGGTCACATGAGCCTGAATTTTCAGTTCAGTTCATTAGTCAGCCATTTTGGTCAACACCCTGCTTACTGCGCACAACCAATCCTGTTAGAACTCAGCATCCTGGCTCATCTGAGCAGATCTGGAAGTGGTTTCTGCAGTTCAAGATCATTTTTAAGCTAAATTAAAAATACAGATTAATTTTTCATTCCCTTTTCTTTTGTATTTTTTTTTTTTTTCTGCACAAAGAAGGAGGGCTTTTTCCATTTATTTGTGCTGAAGCCAGTTTTTTAAAGGGCAGCTTTGGCTTTGCAGGATTTAAAGCCTGGAAAAAAAAAAGGGATAGAGAAAGGAAGATAAAAGGAGAGGACGCTGGGAGAAGACACGCATCATCTTATTTTGCTACGTGGTGGGAACTATCAGTAAGAAAAGATAGTGTAGACTTATTTGAGAAGTTGGTTCCATAAGGTCTTTTTCCTTCTTTTTGTTTTTCGTTTTTAAACCTCCCCCACCCCTTTTTCTGAAAGCTTTGTTTCAGAGCTTCAGATTTGGGATTTTTGGTGAGGAGGGCTTACTTATTTTGGGGGGATCGTGTGTGTGTGTGTGTGTGTGTGTGTGTGTGTGTGTGTGTGTGTTGTGGTCTCAGCTGAGTCATCATGTCTGCTCTGACGCCTCCGACCGATATGCCAACCCCCACCACTGACAAGATCACACAGGCTGCCATGGAGACCATCTACCTTTGCAAATTCCGAGTGTCTATGGATGGAGAATGGCTCTGCCTGCGAGAGCTGGATGACATCTCACTTACACCCGACCCAGAGCCTACCCATGAAGGTATGGTCAGATCCTGGCTGATACTGACTACTAGTGTCTCTCCAGCATCCTCATTGTTATAGGGGAGGGAGGGTTTGGGAGGGGTATGAAGAACCTACATGCTAAATGTTGACAATCCTGAAAACCTTCCTTCTTACTTACCACTCAGCTCCTCCTTTCTTGCTTACTGGGAAAAAAATATTTTTCCCACCCCTGAGATCTGTTTCAAAAGGTGCTTATGCTCCTTGAGAGTTCTTTGTCTTTAAGCCTCTAAAGAGAACATTTGAGGTCACTTGTCACATCTGACTCCAATCAATACTGAAAAAGCTGTCAATTTTGTTTCTTTATTTAAATATTATATAAATTGTAGTTAATCTTGACAGTAAATTAAGATGTGACTCTAATTATACGATAATTCATGATACAGTAGAAACACTAGAAAATTGTCCTACCACAACATAATGTTAAACCAGCTCTGCCATCTAAAACATAGTTGAAAAATATTATCTTTTTAAATAATATGATTAAGTTAGGTGAGAAAGCAGTTTTATATTCAGTATGAACTCTTAAAAATGCATAATGTCTTTAGAAGGTTAACTGTAATATGGTGATCTATCATATTGGCTATGGGCTATTATTTTTTTAAGTTATTTGTGCTATTATGACTCATTTGAAATTTCCACTATTAGTGTCCTTAAAATCTTTGTGGTCTCTTTCTTTCTCCCAGAACCATTCTTAAATTGTAAGATGTTTTTAGCTTCTACTCCTTAATTCTCTTAATGCCAACTGCAGCTGTTTTGTTTTTAATACAATAGTTTCTCAGCTTGTGTTTATACTCTACTTTTAAAATAATGAAGATAAAAATGCTTGAGTATAAGAAGAAATTCTTCATAAACATCTGCCTAGTATTTAGGCAGATCTACAGTGCAGAGAGGGCCATAAGGTAAATTGCATGTAGCAGATAGAATTAGGAAAAGTGGTTCATTGCCCTTGACCTTGTGTTGCAATCTTATCATGACTCAAATTTCACCCACTGGGTTGGATAAGAATTTTATCTTACCAGTCAGACTTAGCCTTGAGAAAGTTTTAGACACAACACAAAGCAGTCATTTGTATGTGTCTTAAGAACAATATTTTAGTAGTTTTTAAGACCTTTACATCTGTTGAATTTAATTAAATTGGTTTGTCAGTTGAACAGTTTCCTTCAGCTATGTATCAGAATCTGCATAAGGCTTAAGACAATATCAGCTGAAATTCCATACAATACCAGTACTGTTTAAAGCAGTCTCCAAGACTTTAAAAATGTTAGGGAAGAAAAATGCAGTTTGAAAAGGCTACTAAGAAGGTTTTTAGTAAATCCCTCGTGTTTTGTTAAAAAAAAAAAACCCATTTTGAAAGTCATCCAATGTGAAATATTTTAATTAGAAAATTTTTAACAATTTTAGTACTTTGAATATATGTTTGTTTTTGAGCACGGGTCCTATGAGTAAACAAAAGTGAGCTGTTTGGTTCATGTAAGGTTAATGTAAGCATTTGTAATGGTGCTGTTTGAATTCTTCATTGAGAAATCTAAAATTAATTAATTAATTAATTTTGAAGATCTGTTGCCATAGATATGAACACAGCAATATGGAAAATGTATGAGAACTACAAACTAGGACATAGTGTCACATTGATTAAGGAAACCAGACAAATAAGTTTTCATGACATTTAATCAATTATAAGGATGTGGAAGAAAATACAGAAATGCCAACAGTGAATTTGGGAATTTTGTCATAAGTTAGGCAAGAGAAGCCATTATTTCAGATGATTAGGAATGAGAAAAGAGCACAAGGATATGAAAGCATATGTAGGTATAACGATCTAGGAAACCAAGAAGTATTTCAGGAGGGTTTTATTTCTTTGCTCTACTGGCTAATAAACAGTCATTTGGATCCAACAAATACCTGCTTTAATGTTAATATCAGTGATAATTATTAGATTTAACTTAGCTATAATTATTTAAGTAGTGGTTAGGGATTATGTGAATAACTGATAAAATGAAATTCCTAGTACCTGGACATGTGGGAGTATGGAGACTACTTCCTGTCTGATTCATAGGGAAAAAGAGTTTCGCTACACAAATCTTAACAGTGGGGTCCCCTGACTGCCACAAAAGAAAATGGGCAAAATATTCCCTTTTAAGATAATGATATAATTGTGTGTGACCTCCACATATAAAAGCTTTATGGTGTCTTATGTTTTGTTATTTGAAACAGTTCCTATGCAGTCCACAGGTGGACTGAGTTTCTGCCTACCCCAACCCTTACAGGGATGAGAATAAACACATTGGCTTTATTATCTCAATGCTTAATTGGTATTCAATGAAGTGATCACTCTCTCTTTTCTATATTCTCTTTCTTTAAATTAGAAGCAAATCCACAACAACTTTGATTTTCCCTAAAGACAAGAGTTGAGGACTGAGTCCACAGGAAAGGAGGGGGTGGAGCAGGAGAGGTTTCACAGAGTGAGATTTAATTCATACCTTGAGAGATAGCTAGGAGATCACCAGGGGCAGGACATTTCAATTAGTACCTTGTCAGCTGCCATGCCAGAGAATAGCAAGTGGTTAGAAGCCTGTGGTTGGCACAACAGGATGCGAGGCAGGATAGATCAGCAGGGACTAGACAGAGAAGCTTGAACTTGACTCTTAGGTGAATAGCTACTTGGTGCTTTATATTTAGGAGCAAATAGGAAATTTTTAATATAGAATGATCACTCTTGCAGCACTGTAGAGGATGGATCAAAAGGAAATAAGCTCTCCAACAACCCCTACCTATGACTATTAAAATGTTCCAGGTAAGAAATAACAATCCCAAACTAAAGCTGTGAAGAATGAACACAAAAGAAAAGGAACAGCCACCAGAAAAGCAGAAGTTATTTATGACTGAGGGGCTACAGGGTTGGAGGATGAAGACAAGACAGTGCCTGGAGTGACTGCCAAATTTTTGTTGTCAGGTCCTGAGCTCCCTTCATGACTAATGAATATAAAAGAAAGAGGAGGTTTGAGTTCTTGGTGCTAATAAATTATTCAGAACAATAGGAACACTATCACTCAATTAATTTAACCTTCCAGCCACTCCTACAGAAGTTACATTCCCTGGCTTATATGCAACTTCCTTGAAGAATTTGATCCTCACTTTTGTGGAGTGAGGAGTAGAGAGGATGGGTCTTTAGTGGACATTCAGTGATTTGGAATATGGCTCACTTTCCTTTTGTCATGCCAACACTAGAAAAGCAGCCTTATTTATGTAAAACTCAGTTTGCTTTTTCTGATTTAGAAAAACACCATTGAAATGATCTATCAGAGATATTCTTTGGTTCTTTTTCTTTTTAGTTTCTGAAAGAGCAGAATTTCAAACAAACGTCTCAAGTACTATGGAATGTTTAGATAATGTGTGCCCTTTGTTTTTCTCAAGAATGGAAACAGCATCATTATAGTAATTTTATAAATTGTACCATTGCTGAGATGAAGTGATGTGCTTTATAATTATTTGTGTTCAATTGCATCTTGGCTTCTTGTAGTAGCATTCTTGAAACAAGGAATTTCAGAATCAGGAAAAATAATATAAATGCTTTTTTTCAGCAATTCCTCAGTAAATGGTGTGTGTAGTCATGCACACAATGAAGGACAGGCTGTAATATTACCTTTGTATTATCAAATGCTTAACAACAGCAAACTTTCCATAGTTGTGACTCAGTATATAATAAGGTTACTATATAACAAGGTTACTTAATTGGCAACTTGTATATTGAAAAATCTTTTAATGATATCTTAAAGAAAATCTTTAAAGAATTAAGTCTTGAACCTTTTGTGTTTTGTCTCTATGTGACTAAGTTTTAATTAGCTTAAAAGACAGTATTCTGTTTCAAAAGACAAAATATTCTAGGTGTATTGCCTTTATTGTAAGGTATTCTCTAGACTTTTTTTTTTGTTTTGGGTTTGTTTTGGTTTTTTTAGTTTTTGTTTTTTTTGTAGACATATTTTTGAATAGGATTGATGGTCTGAGTTTAATACTTTAGCTACTTCTCAAACTGTCTACTTTTTAGCTTGTTTCCCTTTTTCTTCCACATGTCTATATTCCTTTATCATCTTGGGGATATTTCATGGTTTGAGTGACAGGCAAATTTTTTTTATTGTTTTATTATTCATATGTGCATACAAGGCTTGGGTCATTTATCCCCCCTGCCCCCACCTCCTCCCTTACCACACACTCCGCCCCCTTCCTCTCCCCCCTACCCCCTCAATACCCAGCAGAAACTATTTTGCCCTTATCTCTAATTTTGTTGAAGAGAGAGTATAAGCCATAATAGGAAGGAACAAGTGTTTTTGCTGGTTGAGATAAGGATAGCTATACAGGGAGTTGACTCACATTAATTTCCTGTGCGTGTGTGTTACCTTCTAGGTTAATTCTTTTTGATCTAACCTTTTCTCTAGTTCCTGGTCCCCTTTTCCTGTTGGCCTCAGTTGCTTTTAAGGTATCCAGGCAAATTTTTTTAATTCTCAATTTAAAATAATTCTTTTCTTTGTGCTTATTAAATAAAGTAGGTCTAATTTGAATTTTCACAGTAAGATTTTTTTATGACTATAAAAGTATACCTATTGTAGAAAATTGGAAATTTTCAAATAGAATTTTGGCACAAAATCAAAAATGTTGGTAAAAAAATCTGCTGGAAACCTAATGAGTATAATTAGAATTGGGTGGGTATTAGAACTGGTACTAGAGGCTGAGCTACAGCTAGTGGTAGAGAGCTTGCCCAGCATGTGTGAAGCCTTGGGGTCCATCCCCAGCACTGAAAAAAAAAAAAAGAAAAAATTGGGTGGCTGTTAATTTGATTACAGAAAACTTTATTTCTGTCAATATAGGGAAATACGTGCAAATAGTGAAGGGATTATTATAGTAGTGGTGTTGGAATGGCTATTGATGCTTTTAGCTACTATGATGGTCATTAATTTAGAGATAACAGAGTAGTGGTTAAAA